GGCGGGGCCGCGCCGGGGGCGGGGCCGCGCGCCATGTGCCGGGCCTCACACCCCGCGCCCGCCCGCCTCGCGCCCCCTCAGCGAGGGCCGGCGGGGCCTGGACCGTGGCGGGCCCGGAGAGGAGCCGCCGCCGCCTTCTGCTGCAGCAGTGCCCCGTGAGTAGGCCCAGCTGGCCACAGAGTCGGCGCTGGCGTTAGGCCGGTGCGCAGGGATGGCGGGCACAGCCCTCGGTAGGCCGCGACAGGGGGATCAGGACTGTCCCTGGTGGCACAGTCCATCATAGGCAGCAGTAACTCCACACAGTCGTGTGGCCAAACAAAAGCTGGGGAAAGCTCTAACCAAAGTTAACATTAAGTACAAATAGCTGAGAATATAATGCAGAGTAAGTTGGTGGAACCAGAGGAGCATAGAATTTTTTTTTTCTACACAGGAGATTCCATCTCAACATGAGGAAAAACTTGTTTCATTTTGGGGTGCCAGAGCACCGGAACAGGCCTCCCAGAGATGTTGTGGAGTCTCCTTCTCTGGAGACATTCAAAACCCATCTGGATGTGTTCTTGTCCAACATGCTCTAGGTGAACCTGCTTTGGCAGGAGGGTTGACTAGATGATCTCCAGAGGTCCCTTCTAACTCCTGCCATTCTGTGATACAATACTGTTCAGACTGGAGGTCTGTTGTACATCTGTGTTTTCGTTGTAGTTTTTCATAGCCATTCACACAGTGGGTTAAATAACATCTGATGAACTCTTCCATGCCTTTACTGAATAAAACATACCTGTAACTTTCAGTGGGACATCACAAAACTGCTAGACAAGGCTTTAACTGGGCAGTGAAGGCACAGTCTCTAGTGAGAGCAGGGCACGGTACCACAGAGAGCTGCATTTTCACTCACCTCAGAATTTGCATATGAAAATCTCTGTGACTAAGAAATTTGGTTTTTCTCATGCTTTTGTGTGTAGTGCTCTCTCACCCTGGCCAACATCTGTCTTAAGAGTGCTCCTGAGTTTAGATTTTTTTTCTTCTCAGTTTTACTGTCCCTTCTAATTTTAAAAAAAAAACAAACAAAGTGTGATTCTTCCTTTAGTAAAATATTAACATATTTCTGGTGAATTTTGAAGGTAAATAATGGGAAAGTACTTAAACCAAATGGAATCTGTGTATCTTTAACTTTTTCAGCCTGTACTTCTCATAACTCACTGTTGGTGACGTCTGCCATAGCTGTCTTCAGACATCCTCTATTTAGCGTAAATTCTCTCTCAAATACAGGTATTTTTCAGAAGAAAAGGTAGTGTCCTTCTTCCTTGTGAACTTAAGCTCTAAAGATTCAACTATAGTGTTTAGTCTGGAAAATACTCTGTTCTTTTTCACTATTATCTTTATCCTCTAGATGCTTTCAAAGTACTTTGGAACCCCAGAGAAGTGAAAAAAAAAATTAAATAACATTAGTAATTAAATAATTGCAGCTTAGTGATTATGCCATTAAATCATTTGTTTATTACAGTTTAGTAGTTAAGCAATTATTAAACTATACTATCCTGCCAACGTAGGAGTTAAAAAGAAAGAAAGACTTGATATTTGGCAGAAAATGGAGAGAAAGAATAGGAACTAGAGAGGGAAACTTATTTTAGACAGAAGTGACTGGGAAGAGAGAGGTATTCGTCCAGTTACTTGAAACATGTATTTTCAACTACTCATTTACCTGCTGAGAAGTCATTGCAGGTGTTTATGTTCTTTCTAAAACAAGGTAAATATAAAGACAGTATTAAGATCACAAGGTGAAACATTGAAAAGTGTGAAATAGCAGAATTAAGATCAATCTGCACATTTATTGTGCATTCTGAAGGCATACAATTGCGTACTGTCTGTTCTGAAAGATTCCTCCCTAAGACCCTGGACAAATATGTTTGAATATCATGTTTTTGCATCATCCTGCAAACCCATATGAGCAAAACAAGTTTACCAAGTGAGAATTAATAAGTGTTCACAACTTTGAAACTCACAAATTAATGAAGGATAGTAAATAGCCCCCATAATTACAAAAAAAAATAGTTCTTTCCAAGGGTCCCTCAGTTTTATAGATAGGCATCTAGTCTAAGCTTAGCAGATAGTTAATGAGAGAGCCCTAAATCTTTGTATTGCAACAAATAATTGATGACTAACTAAAGAAAAAACCAGAAAGTTTAATGAGATCTAGAAAAGCTCTTTATAAAGAGGAGACCTAAAACTCAGTGTACTCACTGTCACATTGGTGAGCTCTGTCTCCTCGATATTAAGATGTGAGACTTCATAGACTGCATCAACAATGAAGGTGCTCTTCTAATGTTCGTCAGCCATGGAAACAACACGGGAGGTGCTGGGGTAGGGAGAAATAAAAACAGGGATTCCTGCCCACCACATTTACTAATAGCCCTTGGCAGTTATCATTGCAGTGAGCCAGCAGATCCAGGCAATTAAAGAACATACTCCTCCAAGGTGTCCTTGCAATAAGAAAAGAATAGGCAGATGCACCACACAGGAAGATTTATAACTCCTATAGGAGAAGCTAGTATGATGGAAAACATGCGATACTTTCAAATGTAGTCTAAAAAACTGCAAGTTCTGGAGATGCCAACCAGAATTATGTACCATGAAGGCTGCATTGTATGTAAAGGAGGTACTGCTAAGGTAACAAGAGGTTTTAGTAGGAACATGCCTGAAAACTTACATAGAAATCTGCAAACATATGATATAGTCTAAAAGAGAAACTTAGCAGAAGCTGATTACAGAAAACAATTGTATTTTGTGCAGTTGAGCAGCATGCATGCACTGTTGGCTACAGTAGTAAAGCTGAGCTTGCAATCTAACTAGTCTGAATTACTTCATCTTAAACCTACTGACCTGTTACTTGATTACTAGAGACATTCCTTTCCCTTCTGAGAGCAATTGACAGTAGCCTCTCATCTGTCTCGTTTTTGTCTCAAACGCATTGTCTGTGCCAGAGAAATCAATGGATTGCAGTATCCCCCAATGGTCCAAAATGCTTCTGTTGCTTGCTGCAGACTACAAAAATACCCCCACAAATAAAAGTGTGTTGCGTTTGTATACTAAAGGCACTTGCTAACATGGATGTGTGGATGTAGGCAACTAGACACATTGATACTGTCAATCTGGCAGCTGTTAGAACTGCCAGTCCAATAAAAAACCAAAATCTCGTAGTTGTTTGTATTTTACTTCTCCACTGCCATTCTTTTTCTTTCCCTCAAGCAAAAAAATTGCAATAATAGAGTCATAGATTAATTCTAAATGTAGATTCTCTATATATTGCTACTGTGATCTGCCCCTTCTGCTCTGCAAGTCTTTTACTTGTTTCTTGGGTGTAAATTGCCCACTAAATTATCATTTGTTCTATCCCAGAGGTCTGTTCCCCCACATCACCCTGTATCAACCACTGATGAATTAACACACACTCTTATTTTGACAAGGCATACGCAAGAAATAGCAGAAACTGGTAGCTGTATTGCTCACAACACCAGGGGGTATAACTTATTTTCTCTCTTGACTCCTCTGGCTTTATGCTGACCAAGGGATGAGTGTAATAAGTGAGAAATTATGAATACAGCTATCAGCTTTATTCTGCATATCAACTGGCACAGTTGTTCATGTTGTTCTTATTTTACTTACCATATTCAGGCATTTTGAGGCAAGAGCATCAGTCAGTTAAGCATGAGGATTTTGCAGTTGAGATATATAATAATAATTCTCAAGATGGTCATCCATTTTTTTTTTTTTATGGAAAGAAAGCTTGGGGCTGGGAAAAAAAAATCCTTTTACTCTCTACATCAGTTAGCAGGTCTTTAAACAACGCATCAATGTCTGCAGAAGCTGGATTATTACTTTTCACCCTGGCACTATGCTTTTTAACTTGTTGACCCTTTTGGTTTTTAACCACAGCCATCCCACACTAAAAGCTAAAAGGTAAACATTCCATCAAAGTTTTTAGCTACATAAGTAGTTTGGTTGAACTGCTTTTTATTTCCAGATCAAGACCAAAGAGCTAGATAGTGGGAAACCAGGAAATGTAGTTGATACTTTAGAAACCTTGCTATGCAAGAACAGCAAAATGTGTGCTTAAAGCATGTAAACCACCTTACCTCTTACCATGCTGATACTAAAATCTCTCTTAGGTAGTTTTCAGGTTGATATTTGAAAATGAACTTTGACTATTTTCTTCACTATTGATTTAGTAAACAAAATTAATATTTGGTGAGAGTGATTGAGGCGTAAAGAAGTTTATAGCATATTCTGAAAAATCTTGACCAGGATCCTGAAAAGCAAATTTTATACGTGGCTTAAGCTTAACATAATGCTGCCCTATTACTGACATCAAAGTTAACTTCATCAGAATTACCTAGGAAGGCTGTGAAGTCCCCATCACTGAAGATTTCTAGAGTAAGTGAAAACACGTCAGAAGCAGACTTGGTACATTTAGTGCTACTAAGCTACTGGGGGAAGCACTACTAAATGACTGTGACAAATACACCTAATGTATTTTAAAACCGTAGTGAACAAGGACTCTGTTGTGTCTGGTCACTATTTGACTGTAAGCTGGGAATCAGAGTGCAATTGTCTAGCTCTGATTTTGTATGTCAGTAAAAAACCTACAGCAGAGTGAGGAAGTCTTGCTCATTAGCACTGAAGTTATGGGTTTGTTTAATACTATTTGTTATTCTTAGAAGTACTACACACATACACACAAGTACCAACCTGCCTGACATAGCAATTGGAGCTGCTGCCAAAATTTTGTTAGAATAGGTATGTTCAGATGGGAAGCTTGTAACTATGAATGCACAAACAGATACTAAATGAACATCTGCAAAACAAACACTATTCAACACGTATATGGTTTACTCAAGTATTCAAGTATTCCATAAGGTATGCATGTAAAATTGATTGCATTTAGTCTGCTGTTGTTGGTTGTTAAAGTATCATACCTTCAGGAATTT